TGTCCCCAGGGTGTCACCCCCCTCACCACTGCACGAAGGCATCCACGGAGCCGCTGTGCAGCGGGATGAGGCTCTGAGCATCCTTCACCCAGATGTGCAGCTCTCCCGTGGGCGGCATCCCCGCTCCTGCAGCACACAGAGCTCAGGGCACTGAAATTCATCCCCCCCCGGTGCCCACGGGCCCCTCTCACCTTCCGAGCCGGCGGGGATGAATTTCAGTGCCAGGTTGAGGCTGCCCCGGCTGGCGAGGCCGTCCGAGGGGATGGGCACCTGCGGAGGAGGAGGAGGAGGCGGAGGAGGAGGAGGAGGAGGGGGTTACAGGGGCCAGGCACGGGCAGGGCGGGCTGGGGGAAAGGGGAAAGGGGAAAGCTCACCCGTGGCTGCAGGCTGAACCACTCGGGCCGGGTGTTGGCCCAGTCCCAGGTGCCCAATGCCACCTCCACCTCGCCCAGGAACAGGTTCCTGCTCAGGCTGTCGTGGTGCCACACGGAGAGGTTCAGGGTCCGGCCCTGCAGGTCCCTCTTGTCCAGTTTGTACTGGTGGGGAGGGGCACGGGGTGAGATCATCCACCCCATGGGAACCAGGGGGACCCAGCAGCACCCAGGGCAGGGTCAGAAACCTTGAGGGTCTCATTGAAGACGGGATCCAAGCTCCTCTTCCTCACGGCCGTCTTGCGCTTGCTGCGGTTGGATTTGTCGGGCAGCAGGTACGTCTTGATGTAGCTGGGGCCGAAATGGGGGGTCAGTGACACCGGGGTGACACCTGGGCAGGGCCAGCACCAGGGGAGGGGCACTCACGGGTCCGAGCGCTGCTTCTTGGCCTCGGCCAGCTCCCGGCAGCGCAGAACGTGCACCTGCAGCTCCTCCCGGGCCGCCTCGTAGCGCAGGGAGAACTGGACACAGCCGCGCACGGGGACCCTGCCCAGCTCGCCCTCGCTGTACAGGCTCATCAGGCTCCCGCTCAGCTGCGGGGGGACACGCTCAGGGGGCTGGGGGTGACCCCGAGCCCCCACACCCACACCCACCCCAGTCCCAATCCCGATCCCGATCCCAATCCCGATCCCAATCCCGATCCCAATCCCGGTCCCGCACCGTGGAGGAGCTGAGGCTGGACACGGACGAGCTGGTGCTCCTCAGGCTCGGGGCCGGGTGCCCGTTCTGTGGGGACAGCGGTTCGGGGACCTTCTCCTGTGCCTGGGGGGTCTCTGGGCTCTGGAAATGCAAAGAGGGGTCAGCACCCCCCCTTGGGCCCCCAGCCCCACTGAGGGCACCCAGCTCCCGGCAGGGTCTGGTGCTTGGGTACAGCCCATGAGCTGCCTTTGCTCAGTGCCCCCAGTCCCCAAAACCCCACAGTCATCTCCAGACCCCGGAAACTCCGTACAACCCCCTCCAACCCCATAGAGCCCCCGCTAGCCCTGTACAGACACTTCTAGCCCTCCAAACCCCTCCAACCCACCCAACCCTCAAGCCCATAGAGCCCCCTCAAGACCCTACAGCCCTAAAAAACCCCATACACCCCCTCCAAAAGCCCTTTCAGGCCTCTCCATCTCCCCCAATCCCATAGAGCCCCTCTGAAGCCCCCAGCCCCCATCCCACCTGCCCCCCATCGCGGCTGCTGCGTGCAGAGTTGGGCTCCTCCTCATCCTCCTCGGTGCTGGATGTGCAGAAGGGGTTCCCCCCTCYCCCGTCACCTGCGGGGGTGTCACAAGGGGTGGGTGGCAGATGAGGGGCCCAATGGGGCCGGGAGGAGGCGGGTGAGCGGTTTTGGGGGCTCCAGCCCCCGTCATCCCCACCCCCACCCCGGTTACCTGGCCGGGCTGTGCTCTCCTGCTCCCTCGCTGCGCTGTCACCCTGCAGCACGGGCGGTGGCACCGGGGTCCCCTCCCCGGCCCGGCCAGGAGGGATGGGCTGCGAGGGGAACGGTGAGAACGGGAGAACGGGGACCCTCCTCCTCCTGTGCCTGTGCCCCCAGCACACCCCTCTGCGTCCCTGGGCACCTCACCAGGTATGGGACACCCCACGGGACATTTTGTGGGACATTTCCCACCCTCGCCGGGGTTTGGGATCGCTCCGAGGGCAGCACAATCTCGGGATGGCAGCGGGGKGCTGCAGAGAGACCCCCACCCATCACTGCGGTGTCAGACACTGCTCAACCCCCCCCAGGGACCCACCTGGGGCTCCGGGGGCTCCTGCACCTCCTCCGAGGGGGGACTGTGGGGAGAGAGCGCTGTTAGTTTGGTCTGGAGGGTGGACAGCCGGACAGCCGGACAGTGGGACAGGGGGGACACTGGGGCGGTGGGACACGGAGGTGCACAGATGGTGGGGAAGCAGCCCTGGAATGGTGTCAGACACCGGCCCGGGCTGCTCCATCCCCTCCACCACGAATTCTGCTCCCTGCAGCCCCTGTGCCACTCCAGAGGGCACAGATGTCACCAGCCATGGGGTACCTGTGGGGTGACAGCCTCTGTCCCCTCCCCTCACCTCTGCTCCGTGTGTGACACCCCCTCCTGCTCCTCCTCCTCCTCCTCCTCCTGCTGCTCCTTCTCCTCGGCCAGCCGCTCCCCGATGCGCTCCAGCTCACCCGCACCGGGGCCGCGCTGCAGCTCCCCCGCTCCTGGGGACACCGGGGAGCTCAGAGGGCCGAGCCCCGGTCCCCGTGTCCCTTGTCCCCCCCGGGCACCCCTGACGTACCCCGGGGCCGCCTCCTGCGGCGGATGGAGGCTCGGACCAGGTCGGAGCCCAGCTGGGGCCGGTGCCGCTGGGCGCGGGCGTCGCAGAACCAGTCCCCGGTGAGGCTCCGCAGCCGCGCCGGGTCCGACACCGACTTGCGGAGTTTGCTGGTGGGGAAGGGTGACACTGCGACCCCAGGGTGGCACTGCCATCGGCCCCAGAGCCTTCCCAACCCATGGAGCCACGGCAGCGGGGCCCGGGGGACACCAGCCCCGCTTTCCGGGGGGTTTGGGACCCCTGGTTGGTGCCGGTGTGACCCCATCCCCAGGGGACAAGGGGACCCTCGGCTCCGCTGCTCTGTCCCCAGGGGTGACAGACCCCACACCGGCTGCTCCTGGGGGTCCGTGCTGTCCCCAAGGGGTGACAGACCCCACACCGGCTGCTCCTGGGGGTCCGTGCTGTCCCCAGGGGTGACAGACCCCACACTAGCTGCTCCTGGGGGTCTGTGCTGTCCCCAGGGGTGTCGCCGAGCAGGGACCCGCAGCCCACCTGATGCGCCCCTCCTCTCGCCGGCGGAGCTGCCAGTCCCGGCGCAGCACCTCGGCGATGCAGCTCCGCTCCTCGTCCGTCAGGAAGCTCAGGTCCAGCAGCGCCTCGGGCTCCAGGGCCATGGCGGGCTCTGGGGACAGCCGGGGGACACCCCGAGGGGACRCGGGGTGCTCAGCGTGCCGGGCGTGCACCAGCGATGCCAACATCTGGAGAGGCACCTCGGGGCCGCTGAGGACGATCCCTCCGGCTCATCCTGCTGAAAAAACAACGGGGGAGGAGCTCAGGCCACCCCCCACCCTGAACACCCCCGCGACCCCCGCGACAAACGAGGGGAGGGACGGGGCCGAGCGAGGGGCAGGGGCTGGCCCAGGGCGCGCCCGGGGACATCGTGCGGCTCCTGCCACCTCTCCGTGCCAGGCGAGCCCTGCCCCTGTGGGATCTGCCCCTGCGGGATCTGCCCCTGCCCCTGTGGGATCTGCCCCTGTGGGATCTGCCCCTCCCGGGATCTGCCCCTGCGGGATCTGCCCCTGTGGGATCTGCCCCTGTCGGGATCTGCCCCTGCGGGATCTGCCCCTGTGGGATCTGCCCCTGTCGGGATCTGCCCCTGTCGGGATCTGCCCCTGTCGGGATCTGCCCCTGCCCCTGCGGGATCTGCCCCTGTCCCTGCGGGATCTGCCCCTCCCGGGATCTGCCCCTACGGGATCTGCCCCTGCGGGATCTGCCCCTGCGGGATCTGCCCCTGCGGGATCTGCCCCTGTCGGGATCTGCCCCTCCCGGGATCCTATCCCTATCGGGATCCTGCCCTGCCGGGTCCCGCCCGCCGCCTCTGTTTGCCCAGCGTGTTTGCTCAGGGCTGGCTCTGCCCCTGCCGCCTGCCCGTGGGTTCGCAGGGCACAGGGACAGATGGCACAAGGCGCAGGGCACAGGGACAGATGGCAGAAGGCGCAGGGCACAGGGACAGATGGCAGAAGGGGCTCGGCTGCCCCGCCATGGGCTCAGATCGAGCCGGGCTGCTCCGCTCGCATCTGCGGGGCCCTGTCCCGTGCCCGGCGTGGCCTCGGGGCGCCCCTTCCTGTCCCCGGCGTTGGGAAAGCGCTGCCCGCTGYCACCGAGGGCAGGAAATTGCAGCAGCCGTGGGGCAGGAACAGCCTGAACCCCCCCGGGCACCCCCGGGCCCTGAGCACCCACAGAGCCACGCCTGGCACGGTCCCACCGCCACCAGCGGCCCTGTCCCCWGCCCCAAAGGTGACTCTGACCCTGCCACACGGGTGGCCCTGTCCCGGCCTGTCCCCAACCCCAACGAGGGTCCCGTCCCTGCCCGTCAGGTGCCCCTGTGCCAGCGCCGGGGGTGTCAGACACCCCCAGGGTTGGTGCCCAGCACCTGAGCACACCTGAGCCAACCCCCCACAGGCCCCCAAACCACACACAGAGACCTCAAAACACACACAGAGATCCCAAACCACACACAGGGACCCCAAACCACACACAGGGACCCCAGACCAGCACCAGGGACCCCAAACCAGCACCAGGGACCCCCAGCACCCCCTGCCCCCCTCAGGGGGAGCGGGTTCGGCCCCCACCCCCTTCCCCCGCTCTCGGGGCTGTGGGGGCACACGAAGCCTCTCACCGGGGCCGGGGTGATGCCGCCGCCTCTCCCCGCCGCAGCCGCTCGTATCCTGTTTACCGCCGGCGCACGGGGTGTCCCCCCACCCCGGAACACAGCCACCACCTAAAAATGTCACCTAGGTCCGAGCCCGGCGCTGCTGCGGCCCCCGGTTCCTGAGGGGACCCCAAAAAGCAGCAGAGCCCCGCGCTGTGCAGAGGGGTGCTGCTGTCCCCCACCCCGCACGGAGACCAGTCCAACCAGTTCAACCTCCCCAGTCAGGCACGGCCGGGGGTGCACGCCTCCCGTTTTACACTGCAGGAAGCCCGACCGATGGAGGGGGGTCCAGACGAAGTCAAACACCCCCCACGCCCCCTCCCCATAACGGACCCACCCCAGTGACCCCACAGCCCCCGGGGAGCGGCGGATCCGCTCCAGCGCTGCCCCACAGCCGGGACAGCCCCCTCCTCCTCCCAGCACCGGGACCCCTCGGGGGCCGCAGACCCCGGGCAGCCCCAGGCCTCTGTCACAGCGTGGGGACAACAAAAACCGCCCCTCGAAGGSGACAGCGAGAGCCCCCGACCCACCGTGCCCGGCGGGGAGCGGAGCGGGGCCAGCGCAGCCTCCCCCGGCCCCAGTGCAGCCCCCGCGGGGGGTTCAGCCCCTCGCCCCCATTACCTGCCCGGGCGGGGGTCTCTGTGCCCCCGGCCCCGCACGGGACCCTCGCGGGTGTCCCCGGTCCCCGCCCCGCCCGGTGCCCGCCCGGGGTGACTCAACCGCAGCGCCTCCGCGAAATCAGGGACTGGAGCCAGCAGCACCCGCCGGACGGGACTGAGCTGGGCTCAGCTGGGCTCGACTGGGCTCGACTGGGCTCAACTGGAGGCGTCAGGCGCCTGGGAAGGGGTGGCACAGCGGGGATGGGACAGGGGGACCCCAAACATGGTGAAGACTCGAAGCCAAGGGTGTGGGGAAAGGGGAGGGGGTGGCAGATGTCCCACCCCGGTGTCACACAGGACTTGGGGGAGCAGTGCGGTTCTGGGGTTCCTGAGAGAGCGCCTGGGCTGAGCTGGGGGAACTGGGGGAACTGGGGGRACCGGTCTGTGCTGGGCATGGGGGAGCAGTGCATCTGCTCCCCTGCAGCACTCTGCAGCCCCCACCCCAAAAGCCCAGGTCCCTGGGACTTTGCAGGATCTGTATCCCCAGGGTGTCCTTGGCTCCATGGCCCCCATCCCATAAGGCATTCCCAGCCCACGGCTCCTTCCCCATGGGATGGCCCCAGCCCCCTCCTCACCCCATGGGTACCCTCAGCCCCTCCTCACCCCATAGCTCCCCCCAGCCCCACAATCTCACCCTGCCAGGAACAATCCTATTTGGCTCTGAATGGCCGGGGGGTCCTCAGCCCCACGCAGGATCGGCCCAGCACAAACCCTGGGCAGGAGCACTGCCTGGCACAAWGGGACCCGTGCCTCAGTTTCCCTCGGTGCCAGGCCGGGGGTGGGGGTCAGGCCCCCCCAGCGTTAAGGCGAGGTGGCAGCACTTASCGACCGCAAGAAAAGGGGATTATTTTTAGCCTGGTTTGTCAGGAAATGAGACTTCAGCAGTGGCTTCTGCTGTCTACCCGTGGGCCACGCTCCTGTTCCCCCTCACAGGGAGCTCAGAGCTCAGCTCTGCTGGGGGAGGCCCTGAGGAACGGGGTCCCTGCCATGGGGTCCCTGCCATGGGGTCCCTGCCATGGGGTCCCTGCCATGGGGTCCAGGTCTGTGCAGGGGACCGTGATGTGGGGACAGTTGTGCTCCCACAGTGGGCTGGGGCTCCGCTCTGAGCCCCTCTGGCTGGGCACCGAGCCTTTTGGGGTATCCTGGACCCTTTTTGTTCCTGCAGCACCCACAGTGTACACATTTATGAGGAAATGCGTGGGGAGCAGTGGGACACGTCCTGGGAGTGAGGAGGGACCCCTGAGGTGATGGGGATGGCATTGTCCCCTCTCCTTGCAGGGACAGCTCTGTGGGATGGATGAAGTTCAGAGCTGCTCTCCTCCTGCAGGAGCTGAGGCTGTTTGCCTGCAGGGCCGAGCAGGAGGATCCGGGTGGTTTTCCATAAAATGGCTGCACCATGAAATCCTCGGACACAGCCCCATYTGAAGGCTGATGTCCTCCCTTGCCACAGCTCCAGCCTCTGATGTCAGAACAGAAAATCGGGGGCTGCATCTGCTGTCAGCAGGCACAGCCTCCCCTGCTCCCAGCGCAGGCGGCAGATCCTGCTGGCAGAGAGGAAAATGGGTCTGGCTGTGCTTCCAGCAGCCCCAGGGCCAGGACAGGCATCCCCTCCCCAGGGAAATGGGGCTCGGGGCTGGGGAGGGAACGGAGCCGGGAAAAGAAGGCCCAGGAGAGACAAAAGGGAAGCTGAAGGGAACCAAAGACACATCTCCCACCCCAGAACACGCGGCTGCCCCTGCCCAGCCTCCAAACCCACCATTAAATCCCACCAACTCCTCCTGCCCCCCAAACCTCCTCCCCGCAGCAGGGCTGTGGATTTTCCCTGGAGGGGGAAAAGGGTGAGCTCACAAAGCCAAAGGTGTGGGAGCTCCAGGACACGGCTCCTCTGGGCAGGAGAGGGGATGGGGCTCAGGGCAGATCCTGATCCCAACCCCACTCTTAGCTGAGGGCTGGGAGGAGGGAAGAGATGCAGCACTTGGGAGACATCCACAGAAATCAGTTTATTTCCCTGCTGTCGGGATTATGAAACCACAGAAGCAGAGTTTAAATATTTACAAAGAAATCCAGCGCCCCGCAGAGATGAAGGGAACAAAGGATGAGGGATGGGGGCTCGCCCTCGCCATTCCAAACTCCGCTCTGGTAAAAGCATCAGGAGCAAACGAGAGGGAAWTTCACAGTGGGGTTTGGGGAGTCCAGGGCCCCCCTGACACCCCCAAGTCTCTGCTTTGGCAATTCTCGTAGAGCTCGTGGATAAAACATGGACAGGATGGGCTGAAGGGGGCTCGAGGTTATTGCTGAGGGCAGATCCAGCCCGGGACTGGGCACTGCCAGGAACCACTGAAATCAAGAGTTTGGAAAGCACTCCCCTCTCCCACCAGGCTGGCTCCTGGGCGGAGCAGAGCTGGGAACACTCCRTCCTAAATCCAGGTTCTCTTTGAGCACGATTTTGGTTTTCTGAGCAGCCCCAGGCCCAGCACMCTCCATCCCACACTCTCCAAGGGAAAGTTTCAGCTCCAGGCTAATGGGGAAGGCCAGAAAGGGGTGACAGAGGGACAATAATGAGCAGGAGGCTTAAGGGGYGATTTAAAAGTGACTGATGAAAAGGGGAAAACACAGAAATGGGCACAGGGTCCAASCCTCCTACTCGGCTGGAGGAGTCGGGGAAATGGGAGAGGCACATAGGGGTCTGAAAACCAGAGGGGTGACAGTGACTGGGCTCCCAGTCAGAGGAAGCTGCAGACATGGCAGGGACTCCAGAAACACTTTCCTGTGGGCCACAAGCACTCCTTGAGTTTGGAATACGTCAGGTACTGAAATACTGAGCTGGTTTTTCAGGTGTGAGTGGAAAAGCTCTTCTCCCTCCTCTGCAGYCAGCAGGAACCTGCTCAGCTGCTCAGCCTGGCTCTTCAGCCAGGCCTGGTTTTACAACTCCCCCGGCTCAGACTAACATCCAAACTCCCTTCCTGCCACAGCCCAGGTGTGCTCTCCCAAACTCCCTAAACCATTCCTAAATCACCACCCCAGGAGCAGCCAGGACAGAGCCCCGTGCCCCMCTTCACAAGATGGGCACCTGCACCTCCTCCTGTCAGCCCTAAGCTCAGCTGCTGCTCCCAGAGCTTTCCCAAGCCCCGGCTCAGCCTCCCYGCCCCAGTCCCCGCCTGACACAGCGCAGGGATCAAAGGGAGACGAGAGCCTTGTGAGGACTGCAGTGCCAGATTTAGCAGTTCAGAGCCAGGGAGAAGCAGGGCCGTGGTATTTTCTCTGGCACAAGCTAAAAGGGATCAAGCAGCTGCCATGAGCCGTTCCCAAGCCAGCCCTTGGACTGTCCTGCCTTTCCAGGCTCAGCAGCAGCACCAGGGGAGCTGGCCCTGCCCAGAGYGTCCCTCAGGAGTGTCCCAGCCCAACCAGCTCCTGCCACTGCTGGGGGGCCATCGCTGAGTGCCCACCCTTCCACTCTGGAATGTGTGCCACAGGGAAAACAGCAACTCCTAACTGCAGATCCAGGGAATCTGAGGAAGCATCTGGTGAAGAGGACGAAAGCAGGTGAYCAGAGAAACCCTCCCAAGGTGCATCTGCCTGTGCCACTGCACGAGGCAGAGCTTGCCTGGGGCTGTCCTTGGCACTGAAAGCAGAGGTGCCCACCCCTCTCCTTCCCTGACCCCATTCCCACAGCCCCAGCTGCAGGAACAGGGGGAGCAGGAGGTTCCAGAGCCCTGACACCGGGAGACACCACTGACAGAACRGAAACAGGAGGAAAAGAAGCCAATCCCAGGAGAGGAAGATGAGCTGCTGCGATGGAGTGGGGCTGCCACCCTCCCTGGAACAGGGCTCCCTGAGTCCAAAACCTCCATCCCGCTGGATCAGTCACAGTTCCTTCCTTTGTGTGCTCAGGGATCAGGGGCTCCAGAGCTGCCATCACCGCAGGTGCAGGGTCAGAACCACAGTCACAATCACCCCCAGGAACAGCACAAAGGGCAGCCAGGTCTTCACAAAGCCCCCTATGCTGCAGGAGGGAAAGGGGGAAATGTGAGCAAACAGCAGAGACAAAAACTGGAGAAATCAGAGGGAGATACACCTTCCTGACTGTAACCCAGTGCTGGCACTGCCACACACCCCATCCTGGAGATTCAGCCTTAAAAACTGACACTCASTCAGGGCCACAACAAATGTACCACAAACAGTAGGGCAAGAGTCTCCTTCCACCTTAAATCAAGTCAAAGAGAAGCCCATTTCATACCTGCACAGACAGGAATGGCAACAGGAGACCACAAAAAATGAAATCCTATTACCACAGGGCTCRTTATTCCGACAGATGGTGGATTTAACCAAGACAGCAGGAGCTGCCCTTGCTCAAGAGCTGGTAAAGAAGCTTTCCCAGAAGAGGGAAGACTCAACAGGAGTAGAGTTTTATGCAGGGCAGTCCTCAGAGGACTTTTCAGGCACAAGGAGCTGAAATGGAGATTCAAAACCCTTTCCATAAGGAAAGCTCGGGGCTTCCCTCCCCACTCCAGCTGGAAGCTCCACAGCAGCTGGAAATGGGACTGGTTTTTATGTAAACAAGATTCAGGAGAGGGAAGGCAAACCAGTAATTCTTGGACAGAAGCCATCCTGTGACCTTGTGTTCTGACCTAACCCAGCCAGAAGACAACACGGAGTGAGATTTGCTTTAGCCAGCATTTCCCAAATTCCAGGCACTCCAAATTAGCAGCCAGAAACAGCATTTTGGGAGCAGYATCTAGTGCAAGCAGCAAGCACTGCTGGTTCTTTGCTGAGCACAGGCAGTGGCAGCACCACCACCCACCACACACACCCACGGCCTGGGGTGTTCCTCCCTCTCCACAGGACAGGCAGACGCTTCCGAGGGATCAAGAGAAGGAAAGAGCCCCTTCTGATGCCAAATCWGGGCTGTCCCTCAGCTCACCTGACGTATTTGCCATAGAGGAGTGTGAAGAAGCACAGTTTCACCATGTTCCACGAGGTGCTGTTGTCATACTTCATCAAGTTTAAGGCCAGAGCCACGTGGGAATGGCAGTTGTCACAGCAGAGGTTGTGCTGGAACAGAAAAAGGGATGAGAAATCCTGTCCCTGAGGTTCCCCAGTCCTGGTGGAGAGCCACAGGCCCCACTCCCATGGGGAGGAATCCCTTCAAACCACTGCGGAGCTTTGGAAACGTGGGGTTATTTGGGTTGGGTGGACTGGACAGCCCGTGGCTCCAATCTGGCCTTTGACACTGCCAGGGATGGGGTATCCAGAGCTCCCTGGAGCCTGTGGGGAAGGGCTCCCTGGAGCCTGTGGGGAAGGGCTCCCTGGAGCCTGTGGGGAAGGGCTCCCCTCCCTCCCCTCTCCCCTGGCAGCAGGATGAGCTGTACCATGCGGTGTTTGTACTCCTCGGACGCGTCGTGCACGGCCGTGTCCCAGGCGTTGGGCCCAGTGCTGTACACCTTGCTGGGGTCCAGTTTCCAGTACCTGCAAACACCACAGCAGTTCCCTTTGCACTGTTCTCTGCTGCACCTTCCCCTCTGCCTGCTCACCCTGTGATGATTGGGGGTCAGTCTCCTGAGATGGACCCATAAGGATCGAGTCCAACTCCTGGCCCTGCCTAAAGGACTTGGAGAAACCCTCAGGAATGGCCAGAGCTGAGCAGAGACTGCAGAAAGGGTGCTCAGAGAGACATCACAGAGCTCAGGGGCACAGCCCCAAACTGCTCCCACATCCTGAAGGAACCTCCTGGCCATTCCAAACACAAACCTGACCCAACAGACACAAACCCAGGCCCTTCTCCTCCCCAAACCACCGGCAGGATGTCAGTGACATCAGCTCATCAGCTCAGCACCAGTGTGCACTCAGAGCACTTGTTAACATCGCCTTTGAATGGCTCAGCCTTTTCCTTTCCCCTCACAAGGGCTCCACAAAGCTCTGGTTATTAACACCACCAGCTGTCACACTGATAAMAAAGATTTAATTTAATTTAAAACAGAGACACAGTGGCCACCAACACTGAGGGGAGCTGAGCACCAGGAAAAGCAATGTCATAGCACATCTGTCCCCAGGAATGCAGGRCACCAGCAGGAAAGTTGGTGAGTGTAACACAAACAAGCAGCACTTACTTCACTGGTTTTCCAAATGCCATGTTGTCTTCCTACAAAAAAAAAAACAAAAACTGCCTCAGAAGGATGAAACTGTGCAATACTCAGAGCATGGATCTGCTGGAGCTCTCAGAGGTGGATGGCTGAGCGATCCMACTGCCCCACACACCCATCCCAGCTGTGCCTGGGTTTGGATTCCCTTTGTTTCCATACCCCTGATCTGGGCACGGGAATATTTATACTCCAGATTGTGACATCATCTACCTACAAGTGCCTTGTTCCTCTTCATTTTTTTCATAAGTGTTAATATTTTGTTACCTCTCAGTTGTAAACATCCCAGTCTATTAGGAGAATTAATTATCCCAAATTAAAACTGYCTTTACTTTCAGAACCCCCAGGACTCCCAGCAGCTTAAGAGGCCTGGTACACACCTGATGCTGAGCACAACAGAAACAGCTATGCTGAGGAAGCTGAAGGCATTTCTGTTACTCAGAATTAAGACAATTTAAGTCCAAAACTCCTGATTTAGAGCCTGGAATACAAGATTTTTTCCCCTCCTCCTCACCAAACCAGCCATTATTTACCAGGCCCCCAAATGAGCTCCACTGGAGCAGCCCAAGGAGCAACAGCAACGATCCCTGGTCCTTAGGACACTTCAAGCTGTTATKTTGAACAGAAGGCAGRGCTGTCTSAGAARGCTCCAAGGCAGGGAGAACAGAGGMAGCAGGAATTGTGCTSAGGCMCCYRGATCCAGGATCTACTTACGGACACGAAGTAGGGCCCGGCGAAGTCCCGGATGACCCCGGTGGAGGTGCAGATCCCCATGTGGCCGATGATCGGGAACAGCCACCTGCCAGGGCACAGGGACCATCAGGAGGGAGAG